TTTTCGGTCGAGCCCTTTCAAACTTTTTTTCTCAGAAAAAAACAAAGTAGACATAGCCAAAAATATATCAAAAGATGCGCAATGAAAAACTCTTTCTAATAGACAAAACCGTTCTAGAAAATCTTCTATAGTAGGGGAGAAATGAATGGACAAATTCAACGCGCATTCCTTTCCGAACAACCTAATAGTATGTTCTAAGACACTTTATCCTTACTTTTGAATATCATCGCCGCTTTCAACTCACTTTCGGGGAAACAAACGCGTTGTTGAGCGGTTCTTCTCCTGCAACTTCATGATTTTGTTTGTAGAAGACTTAATACCTGCAGTTTTTGATGTCAATGCAATAGTAGCAGCTATTTTTAAATTTTTATTCAGAATGCAGAACACGTTATGCTTCCAGACAGTTGAGCCTATTCAACTATCATTTTAGAGTACTCAATAAATCGGAAGTAAATTTATCACGTAGATTTCTACATCAAAGTACAAGAAATAAATGATAAGCAGTATCAAGTCAAAACAGCTCAGTTCTTCTTGTAACTAAACCCGATTGAGCGAATGAGGGGAAATTCACTCTTAACTATCATATGTCGGAAAAAATCACGAATACACAGATCTGAGAGAGAGGAGGAGGGCGGTATGAAGAGACGTCACAAACACAAATACATATTATATTTGAAAGACAACCAAAAAAACATCTACACGCACTACATTCCGCGAAAGACTAGATATCTTATCTTCACACATAACCATAGAGAACAAACGATCAAACATAACATCGACCCAGGAAGAACATACATACACGCGCTCCGATGATTAAGTACGAACGAAACTGTCTACAAGTCACAGAAAACATGCACACAAACAAAATCGCAGCCTGTAGTAGCATCATGAATGTGGAGGAGGAGCTTAGTTAAAGGGAATGACAAGCTTTCCGATAGAACACCTTTACCACCCCCAGCTCCGCTGTCCACTTATCCTGCTTTTCCTAGGTACCCTAAATGGACACCATCCATTTAGGGCACATAGGAAAAGCAGGAAAAGTGGACAACAGAGTTGAAAGTGGTAGAGGTGCTTCTACTAAAAAGCCTGCCACACCCTTTAACCAATACAAGCACAGCTTTCAAGACCCATCATGACTTGGTAAAACTGCGTTACACAACTCAGCCTAGTGGAAACAACATTTTGTGACATCGCCAAGCTTTGAATTACCACATTACGCAATAGATATGGATAATTAGCATATATTTAAAATTTGAATAAACAAAAGTTTGAATAAATCTAGTGATTAACATGAAATAAAAACAGCAAGCATAATAAAAAAAAAACAGGCAAATAGTAACATGTAAAACACGATTAAATTGAAATGTAAAAGTTTAATTGATACCCGGAAAACGATGGCGAACACCGTCAGACTGATTAGTATAGTTCATTTGAGCTTCGAAATACTCTTACTTGATTGACACTTTACAATTTGCTTTCTGTAGGGGACTTTTGTGGGTCCTCATCAAATCAATCACTGTGAACGGCACGGTAATTCAAGCGGTTGTGAGAATACTGTTAGCTGGCACTAAATCCATTCGTAGATCAGCTGCAAAATCTCGATCCGCTTTCGTTTCACAATGCTTTTGCTCCCAATGCTTGGCGAGCAAAGACACCTCCAGGGTGTGAAACGAACATCTCTTACATCGCAACTCTTGGCCAGCTATACGTGCTCTTTCTTCATCCGATACAGTTACGTCCAGCTGAAAAAGTAGTTGGGATGGATGTCCAGTAACCCAACTGCAAGGACTTACTCGAACAAAATTTGGTGCTAATATTGCGTTCCTTCGAAGCTGTGTAATTGACTGGTCCAGATGGTGGTTTTGCTCGTGAAAATCAACAATATTCTTTGTGTTTGCCGAATAATCGCAAATCCTTGAATAGGAATATTGAATCGATCGGTATTCCATAACCTCTCTAGTTGAGCTTGGCCTTCAACTAGATGAGCTCAACCTACCGGCATTTGAAGATGGCATTTTGTGTGTGCATTTCTAAGTGTCTCGAATATGCCACCGAAGTGTCGCACCGGAATGCACAGCGAATACAAGCATGCTAAAGAAAAAATGCGTCATATACACACACACGACGCCTACAAAGTTGACTTACATGCTTATCACTTTTCTTTGCAACCCGCTTCATCTTCGAAAACCTCCTGCTATCCTCTTCTTGTTGAGAAGCGGCTCGCTTCATCTGTGTTACCAAACGCTGTTGAATGTGCTGAAATCGAGCAATAACTTTGGAGTAGAAATTATAGTGAAACGCGTCCATGTTTTTTGGGGTGTTGCTGCTGAGGGTGTTGAAGTCTTTATGAAGCCATAAACTTGAAATAAAATGGGTAAAAGTGAACCCAACACTCAAGACTCTGATGAGTCATCCGGTTTTGAAAATCCAACTAAGGCCTATCGCTAATTAACGAGAGAACGATCGTGCCATCCCAAAAAGTACCAATGAGAAGCTAGCTTTCAAGTCTACATCGTCTGCCAAAAATGGACCGAAAATAAATCTTCCAAGCAGTCTATGTTGATTTTGACCGCCGCAGCTTGGATTTCGCTGTGATCAAGCGAAATCGAAGCTATGGCGGTCAAAATCAACATAGACTGCTAATCAGACCAATATCTCTCGGAAACTGATTCGAATAATTTGAATTTAGACAAACAATCTACCAATTCTCGCTAGTCTTAGAACTCAATTTGGCATAGAGTAAAAAAAATCCCAGTCTCACCTGAGCATGTTGTTGTCGGTGTTGTACAAAATTTGCTTCATGGACAGTACGATATGAGCACTGAGTACATGCAAAATGCTTTGCTCCCAATGGAATAGGGTCGGAAGCTTGGAATGCGCGTCGATTCAATCCTCGTTTCCTGGAAATGACAGCTTTGGACATATCGCGTAGTCGGGGCACGATGAAAATTAAAGAATGTTACGGAACTACGCTTGATGAAAAAAAATGCCGAAAAACAGATTAAAAGCAGCTACCTTTGTGCTATGGCACTTGCAGGGCTCAGTGACGGCAAATGAAGTGAGAGATGCCAATGTAGCGTTTCCGGAGCAAAACAGCTGAAATTGGATATTATTATCGGTATATAGCCGGAATCCATAGCAACTCAAGGCATGATTAGACGATCCCCTCTTTCAAATACAATATTGATCAGATCTAGAAAGAACTGCTGAAAATTGCGCAGGATACGGTCGCACCTAGTTATATTCACCGTTGGGCATTATGCCAGTAAAGGGAAGTAAGCCAGACCTGATTACTGCGTTCAGCCAATGAATAGGATGGGAGTAATTCACTTCCATGACTACTGAGTACACAGTTGTTTCTAGAATTTCCTAGTTCACAGCTTTGATTCCCTATTAATACCATGAGGAAGACTATAAAGCACGATCGAGCTGTTAACTGGCATTCCTAAAGAATGCTGTAAATACGTAACTCAAATAGGGCAAATCCACAGTTAAAAAAAAGACGGCAACACTTTACATTTCCATAGCATAGCATAGGAGAAGTAAATACTTGAGCGTAGCCGTATAGATAGTACTCTCGAGTTGTGAGTAAAACAATTAACTTCGATCCGAATCTAAGTTTTTTTTCATAAGCGTGCACACACAATGGGAGAACGTCCGTTGCGCGTGTCCGTCGAAAGTAGGTCACCCCGCCCACATCGCGCGCGGCGCATAACACTGAGGTCTCGAGATGACATTACAGTACTACCAAGTGTCATTGGAGAAAACGATCTGCATTTGTCTGTGTTATCTTCTTCTTGAACTGACTGCCGTGGACCAAACGCAAAGCGTATGCCCCAGTGACAATTGCGACGTCTGTCAAATATCGCGGGCCGACCACCGCTGCCTCGGCTGCGGCGTGACCTAGTTTCGACGGACACGCGCAACGAAGCGCACCCCACACAATGCCATCATGATGCGGTGAACCTACTTTCAAGATACCTTCGTTCGGCTTTTCAAAGGTAGGTTGTGCATTTCATACTAGCACTCTATTTGTAAAGGGATGAAGACGCGATTCCAAGTTGCCAAGTATCCGCAAAGTAGACTGTCCAATTGACAAATATAATACTAGGGATACATTTACAATGTTTCGTTAGTTCAGCTCATAGAAATGAAATGGGATCTTGCATTGCAGAGTTTTATACAAAGCGAAACAAACCTGAACACTCAAAACGATCTTATTACATGTAATTGTGTTGCACGACTACACAAGCGAAGCTACATGATAAGGTCCTCCGGCCTAGCAAAGCGCAATTAAAGAATGGACTTTATTCTTTGCAAAGAAACGGCTCGTATGGTGAATAAGCTGGGAAGGACTATGAGTTCAGTGAAACACTAGCTGCAGGAAAGGTTCAGCTGCCCGCTAATTTCTGGTGATTGCACCTTACATTTCGTCTGCAGATACGTTACAAATATCCTAAGGGTGCTGAATGTTCCGGAGTTGAATCTAGGCATCAATAATAATGCAGCTGATAAAAAAANAAAAAAAGCACCAAACAAATGTAAAAATAAATTTGATATACAGTAGTGATTGAAATGGACAAACCTGTAATTGCATAGATTACAAGCGAAAGCTCGAGTACGGCCACCGTGCATTTCACGATGTAAATTGAATATCATCTCATCAGATTCCACAAATGGACAGTCGGGGCATTGACGACGATCTACACAAAAAAGATTATTAACATCTCAAAGGAGAATCCTTAAATCCAACTTATACCTTCATCCTGACGATCTCTCTTCAAAACCGGAAGTACTTCTTTTGTAGGTCGCATTAATGACACCACAGAAGGTTCCACTTTTATTGACAACGGTACACGAGCAGCAATGCATGGCGGCTTAACCTCAGCCTCAGCAGAGGAGTTTAGTGCTCCTTCCGTACTTGTTCCACTGGAACTTCCAGTAAATAGGTCATCATTATGACTAAAACATGTATGGGTGGACCTTCATACTGTAAACAACCAATCCGAAGCCGAAGTAAACATGCATTTACCTATCCTCAAGCATTGACGCTTTCTGAGAGTCGGGTGTTGTTGCTTCTTCACTGCCCAACTTACGAATTCCATCGGCGGATTCGGAGCGACTTGGCACTGTTCCGGTGTCCATGAGGCTGTTAGGTTCACTGTGAACAACCATATGTTCCTCTAAGCACGTTTCCGATCCAGTGCTAGAATTTTCGGATAAACGGTGCTGTTTGGTTAACAGGGTCATCGCTTTCTCAAATATTCATTTTTATGAATAGATAGCTAACTTCTCACCTGAATGTGCACTTACTGCATACAAACTTTGCTGTCTTCTTGTGCTTCTGCTTATGATTCCACATTCTTTGGTAAACAGTCGTTTTGAAAGGACACACGCTGAAAAGTGGAGGAATCTTGCGTGATGAACTCGTAGACGAAAAAAAGTATGCAAATTCCCAATTCCCAGCCGTTCGATCTGTCTTTTAACCTATGTTCATGCGCCAAAGAGAATAGCTAGGCTGAAAACGCCTCTTATTTGGGAATAAGAGATTCTAGAAAGAAAGCGAAAGTGGGAAATCAAAGGTTACATTAACAAATGAAATCTGAACAGTGTGCTTCGAACATACTGCGTCCCAGTAAATGAGCCTGAATATAATTTAGTTTGTTAATTCCGACAGATTTGAGGACTGTGACATTGACAAACTAAACTAGCGTAAATCGAGCAGCAAAGAAAGATTCACCACTGAAAAAACTTATCGTACAATCATTTACAAACTCACTCGCACTTTAGCTCCACATAGGAAGGTGTCAGGGTCGATGGGTTCTCGTCATCAGCGGCATGCTGCATATCAAATAGAATTACATTTTTATAATTATAAAAAACGTAACAAATTGCGGCTACAATCATATCTCTATTAACCCACTCGAATGAAAGCGACTCCTTCAGGATGAAGAAGCTGGTGCTCTTCCATAATGTCTAAGCTCCCTGATGAAAATGAGCAAAGAGAGCAGTTGAATCGTTTTGACTCCCCCATGTGCCGCCTGAAAGAGGCTGTATCTGGTAATTCAGGGAGAATGGCTTCAGGATATTAAATTCTGGGAACTTCGTAACTATATCTGGTCGATCATTCGATCATGTACGAATTAAGACCCAAACTTAGCTAACTTTTGAAAAAAAAAATCTGAATTTCTACAAAATCAGGCTTGGCTCCATCTGAATCATCGTTAACCTGAAGCTCGTCTGGTCTCATTTTCAAGACTGCCAAGAAGTCCATATCTAAATTTTTGCTTTTCGCACCACCCCTCGCTAGCGGTCGCCAGCCCATCTGTCTCCGACTTCACCAGTTAGCACAGCACACTCAAAATTCAGCCAGCCCACCGGAAGTGGGACTTCGCTTTATTCCCAAGCTTACAAATTTCTCTTATGCATGGGGCACAGAGTGATGGCGAACAGTTATTCCATTTATCTCATCCTCGATCCCTTCTTCCATTTGCTCTCAAATCCGCTTAATGGGCGCCCAGGAGACAATTCTAGCAGTTCGAAAGCCATCTGCCACATGTCACTACCCCATTCAAATAGTAGTCCAGTCAAGCATATACCTCGAAACTGCAAATTGAGATCAACACGATATGTGAGTTAACATGAAACCAATTCCCAAGCGCATAACTGAACTTTCTCCCACGTGGGCGAAAAAAGCACCACTCGGCGCAGGAATTCCGCCAAAGTTAGCGCCAGGATGCAAAGTCTGGGTCAAATAAAACAACAAAATGTCAGGTAGAAAGACATATTTTTGAATAGACCAAAATCATATGGTTGTGCGTTCATTCTGTTCTGCGGAATGTGAAAAATAACCAGGCGAAAATTGGAAATCCATCTACGAGAAAGGAAAGCCTAACATGTTCTGAGCTGAACGGATCACAACATTAGCGCATCATATAGATATTGCAATGATGCGAGACGACTACTGATAAAAATGTGGGTCGCAAGATCGTTGAACAATGTCTACGACTGGAACTGCATGCGAAATCTTAGACTTCTCTATAGTGTTTGTACAGAAAACTTAATCACATTCGAATTATCGCCTACCTGGCATGTCTCCAGAGCTCTGCACATATCTTAGTGACAAATGGGCAATGAGCACAACAATAGAATCCGGACATGCCACGACCGCGCTTGACACCAATTAGCACTTTTTGAACAACTATATTTATCGGCTTGCCGATTTTCTGAAATAGATACCTGTAACTGAATACTATGGTAACGCCTACTTCTTGATAAAAAACTTCACTCACGGCTTTTATAGCATTGTCCTCAGTGTGCAGGGCGATGTGGGATCGTAAGCTGACTGCACGTTTTGTACTGTATGAGCATTGAGTACACTTGAAGCGAGCATTTAGAGTATGCATTTCCATGTGTGACCGCATGTCGCATGAAAATTTTGAGACATACGGACACAGGGGACAACGACGTCGTTTCACACCATCAGACTGAAAAAAACACGCATGCCAATAAATAACAGCAAAAAAGGAAAAGACCAGCAAGGAAACAATGTAAAAACAGACACAGACAAAGCACAGACGAAAAACAACGATAAAGATTGTTACCCCGATGAAACGCAATGACGGTTCAGTTGCGGAGCGACGCGGTAGACACTTCGGCTTCTGTTCCCCGCATGCGGATGCATCAGCAGGTGACTGGACGAGAGTCTGTTCTTGGAGTACAGATGCAAAGGTGATCGGTAGGGGAGTACTGGTCGGTACTGTGATTTGTCCTCCTGGTACAGTGCCAAGAGATACAGTTATCACAGGAGCTGTTTTCGTAAGAGGAATCAGCGATACTGGTACATTGGATACAGGTAGAAGGACCATTGATGGCACTTGTATTTGAGTAGATGGAATTTGAGAATTTGTTGCGGACGAAGTGATGGTTGCGATTGTCTGATGGAGCCGACGATGCTTCTCAATGAATTCGAGCGTACGTCCAGAAAACGTACAGTGGGGACACTGAAAATGAAATTGGGATCATTATCTCAAGCTTTTTCACCAAAAACTGAAAAAAAAATTGAAAAAAACGGGCACAGGGTCACAGGCTTAGAAGCTCACATATGAAGAAACAGTTTTTTGACTAAAGCGGGTGAAGGTTTGAAGGTTAGCAGTGATTGTCCAATGTAACTATTTCATCAAAGATGGCTGGAAGAGTGATACCCTCGTTTTCAGCGTGGACAAATTATTGTACAAAAAGTGACTATGCAGCATCTATCAGAGCAAATGAAACTTAATGTTTGATTTACTTACTCACCTGAAAAAGATCCTTAACTTGATGTTTAGCTTCATGCCGAATAAGATTTGATCGAGTAGGGGTTTTATATGGGCACAGAGTACAAGAAAACTCATTCGGTTTTGGCTTTTCCACCTCTCTGAAAACTAAGTAATCAGATATGTGCAATTCTAAATATGAGCAAGTGTCTTCAATATCCCCAAGTAAATAGATAACCAAGTGAATAAATAAAAAGGATCCAGTTTCTATGGCAAGACAAATGAATAGCTTTCTCGAGCACCAATCTCTATGGGGGCGATGATTTTGCGATAACTGAGTTCAGAGAAGTCCATTAGGAGCTACTGTTCCTCCAGGGAAAATTGCGTCTTTAGTTTGTTAGTTTGTCCTAAGAGAAAAGGGCTGGGTAATCACAAGGGAAGAATTGATAAATGCGAATCTTTTCACCGCACCTATCTGTTACGTCTGTACCGGCAGCCATTTGTTTCTAGTCATTACGTGCCAAGGAAAACATATCGTTAGTAACAATAAAATAAGGCAAAAAACATGCTTAAATATCTAATACAATAGGGGTAAGCAGGAATTTGCCGTAACTGGATAGAACATTACCGAGCGAAAGCTCGTGAAAATTTTTGAATTCTCAGCGTGTTTTATAAAATTTCTGAACCTGAAGGGGAGAGATTTTTTCAACTTTTTGCATGGTTTTTCAGCCCATATACTTTCTTCGTAGTAGGCGGGATGACGCCATTACTTTCGTATCCAGACAATGCTAATCACATGGCATTATCGTGAAAAACACCACAAATTATGGAACTCACCCATTCGTAAGAATAGAAACAGCTTGCGCCAGCATTTCCTCCGACTCAATCTTGATTATCCTGGGCTCCATTGATTGGACCGGTGTCGAACTGTCATTATGTGGTTCATACTTCTTTTCGTCTGGCTCTATTTCGAACTTGGGCTTCGCGAAGCTCCTACTAAAGTTCAGATCATAGACTCAAATGAGATTCGAAAAGGTTAAATAAGAAAAGAACCTGCAGACACAGATTAAGGTATTTGTATGCCCCTATTGTGACAATGAGCAATATTTGAAAGTTAGAAGTATTCCTATCAGATGTTTTAAAGGGTCGAAAAGGCGAAAAGGTGAGTATGGCAAAAGTCAACCCTCACGTCTTGCTGCGTCCCTATTCACAGTCATAAATGCAATAGAGCAAATGGATCATAAGTAGGAGCTGAAGGAAATCGTTACGAAGGAACGTGACGGCGACGCGGGCAAGGCTACACCACCAGGCTACCGCATCACTATATCGTGTACCTATTTATGCTTCATGGGGAATCGCTAATACATATAGACGTTGATATAGTTTTAATCTCAATCCCTATTCAAAGCACAGTTCATGATAAAAATAGTTTCTAAGATTATTCTTCAAGATGAACCTGTGACCCCCAATGATAGCACAAGGGAGGCTGTCGAGTACAAAATGACTTAGATAGAGCGTAGTAAAGGCCCTAAAACCTGCTTGGTCCTTGCACACACCCACTGGCAGACGAGTCTTCCGGCGTTGTATAGCTGTGGAAGTTGCACCATTCGCGCCGGGACGCGCACATTACCGCAGGCAGATAACTGAAGAGGGCTGCACGCAGCTGCACACACGTTTGGACAGCTCGTCTAATTATCCCTTCCGTGCAGCATTTGCCTTCACACTCTCGTGTGTGTCCCCTACAGCTTACAGACGAATAAAGAGAACATCAGCTCGTCTATGCGCTTGGACAAACTACAGGCTATGAATGTACATATTTTCCTTACAAATATTAGCTGTAAGCATGGTAATCACACTTTCTACCGATCCCAATTCCCTACTCATTTTCCACATAATTCAAAAAGTTGTGCTACCTGATAAGAGCCAATAAAGCTGTAAGAATATGTGTCAATTGATTTACAACTAGATAAACAAAGATCTGCAGGACTCAAGAAAAGACAGTAGCAAAATCAAACTCACACATAGTTGAATCCAACTCTTTCGCGCATGAAATACTGTAACGCCTTGGGATGATGTCGTTGAGTGTGACGAATAAGACGGTGAGTGCGTAGGGCTCCAGCTCTTCCAAAGCACACGCCACACTTTAGACATGTATGGTGAGGTAACCGGCGATATTTCGACTGAGAAAAATTTGAATAAGGGTAAAGACAGAGTATCAGAGAGTATGCTGAAGCTCTGTAAACGAAATTCCGTGCTACCCAACAGCTAAATGCAGAGTGCTTTGTAGAAGTGACCCCTGATGTAAGGGGCAAATTTTGTAATACATATAAAATATACATAAAATTAAAATGTTCATAAACAAACCGGAACATGGCTGCTTATGTGGTGGACAACGTGCTGTGGCACTACAGTAGCAGTAAACTTGCAACCAGTCATCGGACAAGGCCATTTCATTGGACCCCCAACTGGAGGATGTTGCTGGGCACAACGAAGAAACAACACCTTCTGAAATAATNTATATTGCAAAGGCATAAATTGAATTGTAATGCCATTCAATGTTATTTTCAAAAGACCATCAAAAGCCAGTAACACTTTTCAAGGATTACTGTAACTAAGATTCTGTCGCGCGTACCTAACTAAGCATAATCTACAACCCTCCAATCGCCAATCGGCTTTCGACAATTTTTTGGACTTTTTCATGCCACCAATTGCAGGCAATAAAAGCAATTGATCATTGTGATATAAAAGAAATAGATTATCCTATCGAGTTTAGATTTCATACATATGTAGTTGTTTGAGAAAAGGCATTTCAGAATGGATTCGCTAAGCAGGTAACCCTAGCGTAGGTACGATTATACGCGATGGGGTGGATCACTATGAGTTCAAATATAGGTGTAAATCCCTTTATTCAGACATTTTCCAACGTGAAAGACTGTACGGGAGGGCTCATCATTCTTCAAGTCAAGTCTGTTGTGATGACAGATACGTGGGTGTGCAACTAGGGCAGATCGTTCTTGCAGCATCTTACCACTTACTTTGAAAGTCCTATTTGTTCTACGGCCGTATTCCCGCACAAATCATCAGTACTTATGCTGGCTGGAGTGCTCCATTAGGCATGGGTTCTGTTGAGGGCCATTTCGCAGCGATAGGGTCACCGTGATTCTAGCGACCGGCCAAGGAAAACATATTAAATCAGGACACTGATAATCCTGAACCCTGAGACACCAAGGCAATCGTCTGCCGCCAACACGACGACCCAAGTTGAAACAGCGGGGAACTGGATACCCAGACTAGTCGATCTTCGCTCTAAGCAGCGCTTATCTTAAGTGAAAAAGGAGAATCATGCAGTTCAATAAATTTATAGAAAGATTCCTGAAGAAAACCAATGATCGTTTTGACCTAAGGTTTTCGCTAAATGTTGTTACATGGCTCCAGTACATGAAACGAAAATCTCGCATGGTTGGCGAGTTGCGGGCAAAACTTTGGCCTCAAACTAGACGAAATAATTCTCATCGCTCAGGAAAGCTGTCAACTGTAGCAATTCTAAAGAACCTGTTATAGCAAGGAAACGAAAATGTACCATTGTGGATCTGCAATGCACACGCTTTTCAATTGGTCCAACTGTTCGTTTCTGGGTATTAACGCCAACGTAAATAGGAGGCCACGCAAACGGCTTTTGGCCATGTATTTCCACATGTCGCTTAAGAAATCCAGCTGATTCACTTCTGAAACACGTAAATGAATAGTGGAAAGTTGCTCTCAATACCACTACATAATTGTGACTTCACAAAATATTCTAAACTTGAAAAAGCCTATAAATAAGGATGTGTGTAGGGATATGGTAATGTGTGACGCACTATCACACGAGCAGTCGCGGGTTTGAATCCCGGATCGATACTCGCCCAGTCCAACCAAGCCTTCAGTGCCGCCGGAAGCCATTAGTTGACAGCAGACTGGTCTGGGAGGATGAGAGCACTGACTTGTACATCGGCTGGCTACCGCAAGTCATTACCTAAGCCGCATATGCACCCAAATATCATTGAGATTTTGAATGGAAACAGAGTGCGGGGGGCGCATCCCAAGAACGGCGTTGACTAACGCCCAAAGTCTTTATTCAAACCTCCACATGAATAGTAATTTCAACACCAACAAAACCCTGATACTGCTACACGATTAATTTCATTGATTAATCTCATTCATTTATTGCATTAGCTGGTGTCTAATCAGTCATTAAACTGGTCACAAAAAAAAGCTCCCAAGTGTCTCATTAACTTCCTTTGCGCACTTCGTTAGAAGTCTATCATACAACCCATCTCTAAGATGACTGCACGAGTATATTTGAGTCATTGACCACATGCATGGGAATAGTCAAATCGAGCTAAGTAATTACTGCGAACGATTTGGTTGCAGTTACGATTAAAATTTCATGTCCATAGCGAAAACTACCAAAAATTTCGTTGTATACATGATCAGCTAGCCCTTGAAACACTTTTCAAATGAAAACTATTTCTTTTCTTATATGAGTAAGTGAGCACGCATTTATCCATTCAGGCTATTCACACTTCGGGACGAGAACTAAGCAGAGCAGGGTTTCAATGATAGCAAGTACTACTTTCGATGTCAGGCATTGCACAAAATCTCATTCACAGATATTTCCTCTCTTTTATGAAGGGACCCCAAAGAACCATCATGAGAAGGTGCTCGAGATTGGAAACTGAACGCCAAAAAATCCCCTTCACTTTTTCCCTTTTCTTGCGCTCGATAATAAAGATGACTCAATATTTCAACATCGCTTCTCAATGACACATAAGGCAGTACATAAAATGCATTCCAAAGAATCCTCAGAGTTGAAGAATGTGGTGATGATGGTTTGGCTTGGACTTTACTACTTTCATTAATAATACGAGTACGAACCATTCTCAAACCTCTTTCCAAGTCGAATTTTAACGTAGTCTGTTGCTTCACTCTTTCTATATACAGGGACGAATGTTGCAGTCATGTATGCCGCACCAAAAAATCACATTACAATAGAATAAAACCAGGCCGCATAAAACAATGGGAATGGTGCACACAGTAGCATTATCGCTAGCCAACTGCCCCAAGTCTCCAATAATCGAGACAATAGAATACAGTTTTCTGCTTATTTCGTCACTTTAGGACATAGAAATTTCCCTAATGAAAGAATTCTAACAAGAAAAGTTCTAACTTGAAAGTGCAGAATGGACACTGGAAACCGGTACGCTTTTGATGTCCAATCATATGATTTTTCATGCGATCCCTCGTTTTTGCCTTGTACGGGCATTGAATACATTTTCGAGGTTTCTCATGAAATGCACGATCTGTAATGAGATTAGTCTGATCCTAAACACGCCAATAAATACTACAGCTGTGCTGCCCATTAACTATGGAAACCTACGATGTATGAGCCGTGAACAATGGAGACAACAACAAGGACAATGGTTAGTTGAGAGTTCGTGATTTGACCGGTCTGTCTAATAGGTTAACTGAATGATTTGGTCAAGTAAGGTTTTATCCATCAAGTGTTAATATAATAGTAATAGTGCTAACGGGTTATAACCCCTGCGGCTCATACATGATATCGAGAAACTTGAACGGTACCGGATTACCCTGAGTGTTCGAAAGCATACGCCTGAGAGGCTTCGGGCCACTGCAACACAAAGCGTGCAACAACGAGTCAACCCTGTCCATCTCGTTAGACAGTCTACTGCTCACTATTCGAAACGGGTTCCTCATTGAGGGCAACGCTCCAAGTTCAAAAAGGGAGGTCGATATATAATAGCAGCCCACTGAACAGCTCAGTCAATAGAGAAACAGTCGAAAGGTGATATCAAGGAAAAAACTTAAGCAAACTCACTCAAAACCGCACTAGTGTTCATGACTCGCACGAGATTTGGTGGCGGAGTCATTGGAGGAACAGGAGCAGCTGCATTTCGACGGCATGGTGGTGGTGTGGCGGAGTTTGAAGTGAGCGTAGACAGATGACCTGGCTCTGTGTTACTTCTTGCCAAACATGAACTGTATGCTGCTGGAGGAGATAGTTGTGGTGGTGACGAAGTCGGGCAAATTTCAGAGGATGATGACGTCTCGCAACGCAAGTCCTCCTGCAATTTGAGGATACACTACTGTCCAGCTGACTGACCTTACAATGTGGTAACAATGCGCGTTTCTGCAGTAAACTCCGTAAACGATAACAAAGTTTACACCCGAAGCTATAATGCCGTAGCATTGCGCAATCATCGTGGGCATCTCCAAGCAAGGAAAACATACATATCGATTATAACGCAGCATTCCCGGGCAGTCGTGTGAGGACCCTTGATCCTTTATTATTCATTTAGATAAACAAGAAAATCAAAAATATCAAATTCTGCACCGTATCGAGAAGAAATTAGCAGTGACTGGAATGGAAACTTTAGAGACTAATTGACTCACAATAGATAATTCACTGTTGAGCGGTTCTTGGAGACTAGCCGGTCCAACCCCATAACGATCATGAACCCGTCGATGAAAACGTAACGACTTTAGCGTGGTCGCCGAAAAGTCACATAACTCACAGGCAAATTTGCGTTTTTCTCCTTAAACAGGAAACTAAGAAACAAATTACGACAATACTAATCACTAACATAAACCATAAAAGGAAATTAGGAGTTTGAATGAAAAGGTCCAACACAGTTACCATAAAGATATCAAACCAATGCCTCTGGAACAATGGTTTTCAGCTGGTGGAAGCATTGAAGCCATTCCTACGAAACACGATCCGGATAACCACGAACATTGACTCACCGAAATGCAATTTAAAGTGATTCGCGAGTCCTGGGCGAGTCTCGAATCGAGCTGGACATTTCACGCATAGATTCGTTCCTTCAAGACCTCGACGGCATTCCTATGCAAGAAAAAGTTATCTAAGCTCATCAAATCTCAAACCTGCATCCTAAATCGGTACAGCTGATATTCTTTCTTTTCACTCCCGCCCATAAAATCAATGGGTTCCAAAACCCGCCCCTTCCGCTGAGGAACTTTAATACGAGTGTCTTTGTCTTTCATATCATGAACGTCAGTGATAAACACCTACAAAAAAGAAAGCGCATAGCCACTTCAAGTCACCATCCTTCTATCGACTTCCTTCTTTCAGTTCTTTCTCTGAGCAATGAATTCATAACCAACGCCCAAGGCAATCACCCATAAACTTTACGCTGGCAAGGCGCCAGCTCGTGTGGAAAAACCCCTGGGCGGAGCGAAAAGCCACGAAAGCTCAGCATCTGCACAAGTAAGAATAGCCACTGGGCGCCATGTAAGCCTTTAATCCTCAGCTGAGCCCGCATTATCTGAGCTCCCATCCTAAAGGCTCAAGCATCTTTCCCGATATTTCGACTCATCCAGTAGAAATGCAGTAGAAAATGAAATGGGTCTCTGCACTGAGCTGCATTTTCATCAATGAACTTGTCCCTTTCGACCAAAAATACACATCGATTCACTTTTTTATCGATTATTACCCTCCTACAACTTACTGCAAACGTTGTCTACAACATTTTGAACCCGAGTCAAGTTGACCTCTGCCAGCTGTCCACCCGAAACGAAGGAAATCCTAGTTAAGGCACAGGTGATGCTCACGTGGAGCTGTCACAAATATGCTCTGGTACCGGCAAAACGTTCGCATATCACTGAAAGCCGAGCGAAAGCGCGTCTTTATGGAACACCGACTTGATGTATTTTGATTCTCCAAAAATAGAATATGCCCTTATCTAAAAAAATGCACTCGAAGGTGCGCCGTTCAGGATTCCTAGCTCTGGCGCTCGGTTGTGAACTGCGTGGAGTGTCCTCTCATTACATATTCAGAAGCAATCGTAAAAGAGGTGGAGCTCTGTATTGTAGTAGTTCAGGGTGATCATAGGCATTTATGGATCTTAATAACCCGCAACTCAACTTTCTTCCGTTACAACATGGCGCAAAAATACGCTCTTAAATTTGGGAGGAGAGAGCAGTGGGCGCGACCTGTTGATGGGTTTTCATAGAGGGAGTTGCTTATCTATCTCCACCTCGCCGCAAACCTTCAAGACTAATGAACCTGTTTACACCCCCATTTTCCGCCCTAATCACTCGAAGTCAAACCATCTGAGCCAAAAAATTGAATTACCGTTGAGATCGGGTCCCGTCCACTGTCCCTCCTCCCTGCCTTTCAATCAAAGTAATGCGGAAAAGGAAAAGACACACAATATGTGAAATAAATTCACAAAAGAGCGTCCATACCTTCACTGCCTCTTCCCTGTCATCACATCCAAGCTCAACGCTATGTGTGTCGGGAGAGGGAGGAAGAGCAGTCTGCAATTTTTCGTCAGAGTCACGGCTACGCGCAACTTTTCACATAAAATGATGATGAAGAAGAAATAGAGATAGCCAAGCTCATATTCTCTATAATCTTTCTTTTTCAGCGTAGCATTTATTCAGCTCCAGCATTCGAAAAATAGATGGTGTAAAGACAAGCCATTTAGTTCGACTCACTACTTCACAAGATACAGAATGAGGGCAAATCATGGGAAAAATAAGTGCTCCGAGAAACAGGCTCCAAATCGAGATGGGAGTCCACGGCCATCTGGTCCTAAGCTTTTCGCAATAGGATGCCTCCAAGAAAGCGAGGTGCGGTGAGGTTTTGCGCAAGTTTGGTCAAGGTCTGGAAAATTTCGGCCTACGGGGCAGAAACACCGCTCTACTTGTCGCACAATTTCTTGCGTATTTACCTCTTTATTTATTTCTTCCTTTCAAGCCATGGTCAAGGAAGTGGACCCTTTCCCGGTCCTTGAAGGATCCCTTGTATACTTTTCTTTTAATCCTGCTCATCGATTTCGTAAAAATCAACATCTCCTTTGCCATTTTTTATACTGACCTAGGTAGGATCTAAGCGGAGACGGTCGAATTACCGATATTAGCCTAGATAGTTATAGAAGTGGGTCCAAAAAGGTTTCCAGTTCCGTGAACCTTGCGACAGCCTTTGATTCTACACATCTTAATACATTCAAAAAAGGGAGATGTCACCGCTCTGAATTCCTGATGATGAAAAGCTATACTGGAACTGCGGCGGGGCGATGACTACTCTAGCTTTCCGAAAAAAAAAAAACGCGAAATTCTCGTGGCAGTCGAAGGTCATGGTTACAAAGGCCCGAATGAAATTAAAAAGTCATTTTCATAAGCAAAGGGTCTTTAACTGCTGAGGGTCTCGCGCTCGCTCTTTGTTTCCATAGTTCTGCCTCACCGCATAAACTGTTGCGTGGAAAGTGGATACATTTCGAATAAAAAAAAATTGATGTGTGAATCAATCCTTTGCGAAAGAAATGTTCAAACGTCAACAACCGCGTCGATTATTCAGACAATTCAGCTCAAACGTTCAAAATGTTCGAATGAAATGCAAGTGCATCAAATGGCATTGCCATCAAGTAGATAAAAAATAAGGGTTAAAGCTTGGGGCGTTAATAAATCTCGTGAGAGGGATGCGCCTATGCATTCGACTTCCATTCAAAATCGCAGTGGTCTAGTGAATGCGTATGTGGCCTAAACAATGGGACTTGCGGTGACCGGCCAATGTACAATTCAGTGCTTTTATTCTCCCAGACGAGTCTGATACCAATAAACCGGCTTGGTTGATCTAGGCAGATATCGATCGGGGACTCGAATTCGTGACCAAGTGTGTGTGAAGTGTGCTACTTGACACTACACCACCTCCGTCCTACCATTAAGTAGATGCACCAAACGAATTAATGCACTTCAGGGCACTTCCCCAAGGACATTGACATGTTCCTTGAAGGCACCGCTCACGATCAAAAAGTTATTGACTCTTACGTTATTGATACTCAGTGGCCCCCAAGGGTTGTTGAAGGGACCATCTCACTCCCCCAATCTCGACGTCCAGGACAGAGTGGCAGCCCCGTTGCCGTAGTTCGCGTTCCCGCCCCTCGATCGGTATCACGTTAGACGAGTGTCGAGACAATACAGATTGCTATTATTCGTTCTAGGACCCACGCACAATCAGCTAATCGCCGAGTGATTAGGCGATGTTTTTCTCCCATTCTTTTTTCCTCTGTTTTTCTTTATGCTGCCGCGATCCCTTATCTAATTTCTTTCTCCTAGAGGCTGAAAAAGGTGAGCTACTCTTGCTGTCACTAGGGTTTTTAAGTTTATTTATGCTTATAAGTGAATGAATTTTTTCTTACCATTGTCTGTTATTCGCACCAGGACCCACACGCGCGCAGTGAAACACACTGTTTAGCTCGTCCGGACACCCCACTCTTCTTCATTTTTCTGGTTTCACTCTCGACTAGCCCCCTTTTTAACATGTTTTCGAAGCCTTTTTTCACTTTGGAAACACCGATGCACGCAGTTTCTTCACTTCAGTCGCACTAGTTTCGATCTTGTCTTCCATTTTTCGTCATAATCTGGATTACCCAAAATTGTCGTGAACGATGCCTTTAAACAACCATTCCCAACATCCTTACTCTACATTAACTAAACCTAGAGTGTATTGAGTGTACGATTAAGGAGAAGTGTCAGCAAAAAAGCAAAAAAGATCGGCTCGGCACAACTGAACACTTGCCTTTACTAAAAAAGACTCTAACAAGGAAAACCATCCAGCTGTTAGGGGTAATGTGAGCGCAGTGTGGTAATGTTTCACAACAACCACAAGCGCTGGTAATTCAAATCCCGGGATCCCTCTCGAATCTTTCGTGAAAGAAAAAATCGTCCATGAAGAAAGACCTACATTTTAAAAGTCCTACATCTCCACAGTGATCAAACGACCCTTTATTCAAGCAATCCATGAGTTTGAAGGTCCCGCTGATGAGTTTATTCCCTTGAAATTCCTCTAAACACGTGACGTGGCATATGTTGACCTGACTGTGCTCAATTATTTGCTACAGAAAACTATCATCCGAACGAATTCCTGGAGGGGTTTCGAATGACTTGTTTGAAAAGTATACCATTTTTTCAACTTACACTTAAAATCTTTGTGTCGGTTGAATACAAACTTGAAATACGAGTTACTATGGCCTGTCGATATACAAATCAAAGCTAACTTGCGTGTTGCGCTCGCCCCGTCCGATCGCGCACTATGTAGGAAAAGGTTGGAATTTCCACTGGAAGGATACGGTAACCGCCGCGGAATCACTGCCGCTTGCCGCGGGCGTTCGGCACCGACTCATTCCAATTAGCCAACTACGCAAGTAGCCAATTACGGAAGTATAGAATATTCAATGAGCCTGCACAAGTATATAGCCGGCTTATGGAATGGAAACCACGCCACTTGGTACTGACCCACTTCCACCCTCGTATTCCTTAACGATATAAGCAAAGAGGTTCAACGGAAGTGAGTAATAGTGGCACAAAGAAGCCGAACCTCATCCGTTTTGTAGTAACTGTTCAGCGATATTTGCTTATGAATCACAAGATGTCATCAGAATCATTATTCTGCTTTCATCGTGGGCAAATTGAACGTTGGCCCAAGATGTGGAATACTAAAAAGCCGACGAGAAAATGCAGGCAACTTCTATCTGTTGTGAGGCACAGGGCGCATTCACAGTAAGAGCGCCGAAATTGGCACTGGCCAAAAAGGAGGGCCTAGCCATGTAATCGAGTTTGGAAAAGGAAAACATAAGAGAATTCTCATTTTGTTGCATGTGCCTCTGTGAAGAGTTCGAAATAATTGGTGGGCTAGCCACATTCCATAAAAACAGACTACTAGGAAAAGAGAGGCACGGATCGGGTTCACATTAGGCGTCAACACTTCGGCTCAGCTCAATACACTGAGTTCTTGCTACTTCTTCAAAACTTTTCTATTAAAAGAGTGACATAGAGAGTACATCAACGATATAAAATGTAAAATGACGAAGTCTCTGCTTGCTCTTCCGCTTAACACTTCAATCGTTCGAAAGTGCACTAATCGTGAGCGCGACAACCCTTTTCCGCACCGGGTCGCCACGGCTTGAACACTTGATTCTCGCCTTAGTCATAGTGATTAATGACCTTGTTCAGTTTGCGCAATACTCACTGCCAACCAATGAATAGTTCATGACCTGATTTGAATCCGGTTCAGCCAGATTGAACGCTAGCCCTGATGACTAGAGCCCAATGAAAAGGTTTCCACGCTTGTAATGAGTAAGCGATGATATGCATGAGATGAATAGGCAGCACATGTGAAGAGCCCCTTTGATGTCGACGCGTCAACGAGCTCCCCACATGTCCTCCCATCAGTCACCGCACGCAGCGGCCTCGACAGGTCTTTTCGGGACCATCCAACTTGGAGGTACGATTGACTACAATTTGGTGATGCAGTTTAAGTAAAATAATGGAAGTTATGGTAGAGAATAAGCAAAGTTGGCAAAGAAAGCGTAGCAGTGGACCTCTAAAAAAGGCTTCGAAAATTTAGTAAAAAAGGATCGTATGAGGTTATGACGACCGAAAGGGCATGGAAGGATTATTTAAATACACCGTCAGTTGTGTGCTATTGCGTAGAGCTGGCTGCAGCTGCACAAATGCTAGAAATTACATTCCGCTGCCGCCACGGGCCACGACCAGTATAAATTTTCACCATTTGTACTTCATTTTGAGAATGGTGCAGCCGCAACAAAGCCGGAGTACCACGACCACTTTCACGTGTAACGTCTTTTAGGGTAGTAGTTCTTATTACGCCCTACCTAGACCGATTCCCGAACCAACATGGTCCAGTGATTATCCCTGAAGGTCACAAATTCGACTTAGAGAGTGATCTCAGAAACCATTTCTATCGGTAATTGTGCTTTCAAACGTACACCCTTAAGTGACCGAATGATGGAATGCGCTGTTTGTTGTTTGGCGTGGCTCCTCCGACGCGATCTGTAAGGCGGACAACTCGTCCGGGTGATTTCCTGATCATGTTAATCGATGCGAGTAGACAGAATACAAGCACGTTCGCAATTCGGCGTCTAATAGTAGTGGCGTCATCGATCTGGCCGTATGTCAGCTAGATGAGCAAAGGTTGGCCGATTAGCAAGATCAGGAGGATGAATCACCTGGGCGAGTTGTCTAGCTCACAAACACGTCGAATGGGCGGGGCGATGCGAGAGACTGCGCCAAACGACCGCCTCCCGATGGAATGTGTCCTAGCAAACTCTTCACCGATCGTCGGGTGGTGAACCCAAGTTCAATAAATCATCAGAAAGAGAGTTCAAATTGTCAGATTAATGTGTGAGATAAGGTGAGCAGGCGGGTTACACATAAGAGCTTACATCATCATCCGAATCGTCGAAAACATAGCTTGCGTTCCTTGCAGGAAGTCGTCGAACTCTTCGCGACTTCTCTTCAGATGGTTCAGGGCTTTCATGCGCTGAAGGGCTGAGTGATGATGCACGACGAGCAGGCAAGTCTGGTGATGGTGTGAGGCGGCCCTTAAAATAAAAGAACTCTCACTGGATTTCGCGAAAGCATCGTTCTACAAACCGGCTGAGTACGTCGTCTTTCTGGATGGACCAAGTGCATGGAGACGACGTCTAGGTGAAATTTATTCCGTTTGGATCGTCGAAGGCTGTCCGCCTCTGACGACATTCTGAAACAGAAAACTGAGTGAATAGTTTCCCTCTCCACGTTGTCAGACACGTACACATCATTGAGAAGCTCTAGAGGTAAAATGCGGTTCATGACCATCGCCTAAGACTTCTAACTTCTTCGAAAGGAAGGTAGCGCTTGAAGTTTTTCAGATGACAAATGGATATAGGAAATTGATTGAAGGCCGCAGGAATAGGGACGAAAAAGGGAAATGTGGGATCTCACGGCTTTTTTGGAACCAAAAAGGGTACAAAAACACCAGTAGTGCTATAGCATACAGCAGCCAAAAAATCGATCGAACTGGTAATTAGAAAACAGCTTAGATCGTTGAGAGCATTTCTAATATTAAAATCACATGGGAACTGATCTTAGTCATGGGTAATTCAGTACTGAGTCATCCGAGCCGCTAATCATCACACTTCTGTAGGCTACCAAATTGGGTTCGACGAAAGATGGCCTTGAACCACACTGAAGGAATATCATTTCTGGAACTTTCATACCCACCCATTCATTCATTTCATTCTACATGCAACATTATCAACAAGCAAACAGCGAGGTAGGAAATAACCTAATAGTATCATACTCCGACCATAGTCGTATCCAGAAAGAATCCAAAGCTCAAGGGTTTGATTACGATGAACTCTCCATCTTTATCTCCGAAGTAATATTAAATACTGAAGCATCATTGTGCATTTCCATCTTCGCTATCTTTCACATGGATCAACTGAGGTACATCCTTGTGGTATGCAAATTCATAACACCCATGGTTAGAAGAGTTTCCCATGACATTGTACATCTGACATGAACTTCACTCAGAAAACCCTCAGACCCTAATGTTAAGAATTGTACTTGAAGACCACAACAAAATTGGCGCATTGGGCGAGGCGTCCCGACCAGGCCAGTACTCCCATAGGAACATTCCCCATCAATCGGTGACTGATGAAAAGTCTTACGCGATGACGCAATGTACGCACGGACTGTGGAGGCACGCTCCCACCATGCATACTCTACAGAGACTAATAAATCATTGGAAACGAGCGACTGAACTGTGACTACATGCTCTTATGACGGGCCTTTTAGGGTGAAATTGCTCTTGTTAATAGTAAAAAGATGTGGAACATGACATATTCTAGATTCCCCACGACTTTTGGCGACGTATAGACCTTAATCCCGTACAAGATTGTTGAACATTTAAGCAAGTAACTATTAAAATCATCGTCTTCTAAACAGCCGAATCTGTTCCAGCAATTGATAGTACTATTGGGAACACTTCGAGGCAGTCATGGAAAGTCATGACGCTGCTTTAAAAAGAGGTTGAATCTCTCAAGTTCAAAAAATTGCCTAAAAGATGAAGTACGTGACGTTCCCCAGCAAAGGGCAACTATCAAATGTTAAGTGTGAAGATAGAGTAAGGAAATAGCTCTGAAAATATGACGATAGGGACACGAATTAATACAAATAACTGAAGACGTTTCGCAGGTACTTCCCTCAATCCAAAGAGTACGTACCAAACAATATAATATCAGAATGCGGAGGCTCAAAAAGTTAAAGAACAACATCTCACAAGCACCTTCATGGGATGCCATTCAATACAAACCACTTATGAACACCTTTCTTACGGACCAACTCGTGATTTCGATTCAAAATCCATTCCCTTATTCAGTTTCATTTATAACAGAAATGGTAAATTATATGAAGAAATTAATACAAGATAGAAATCGTATTTAGCGCAAGTCCTATGACGAGGGCGTAGAGACTTCAATGATACAAAACAACAAGCCAGCGACATTATGTTTGAACATAGCTTAAAATGCTACTCTCTGCTGAATTTCAATGTCAAAGCCTTTGTTATCACGTAAAGCTGTTAAGAGTAAACAAAAATGCTTACAAATTAAGGGAATATTTGAAAAGTAGAAAAAACAGTAATTACTCGCTAATCTCCAGTTCCATGTTGGGACGAAAGCGAGCTCAGATAGTTCCGGATTGTTTGAAGGGGACCTGTAGGGTCTTTTTAGGGCTGATTGCGAGTAAACGATTATATTAAAGATCTAATGGCTTCATAAAAAGCAGACCATCAACAGGCAAGTACTACCAAGTGCATGCTGAACGATATTATGTTCCAGCATTGCTTAGAATTATACTTTCT